TTAAGAGGAAGTCAGATATATTCAAATATTCTTGTTTTACCGATCAAAAACTCACATTATATATTTGGCTAAGGTCCTAATATGATTTTATTATTAAAACTATCATTTATGAATTATGTACTGTGTCTAAAATTATAGATAGATAGCTAAACTTTATTCAGATCCCTTTTAAAAGTCTGTTCCTTAATTTCATCATCATAATAGTTCATGCTTAATCTGTAAACACTACCATCATCTTAATAGTGTAAGCATGCATGCTACTTGTGAACTCATTATGGAGATAAGTCAAAAATTTTTTCTCATTACATCATTCATAAGAATCTACTAGTGTGTCCCAAATTATATATATATTTTATGTATGTTTCATTCCTTGTGACAAGCAAGGTGGCCTTCATTCTAATTTATTTGTTATAGACAAACCAATGTGCGAAGTGATGAAATTATTGTAATAATTCAAATAAGAATTGCTTTTTACTGAGGAACTACCTTGATTTGTCTAGAATTATTGAGATGCTGATGTAACTGCAAATATTATTTGATTTTTCTATATATACTGCAATTAAGGTATAGAGATACTGATGTTCCTGAGAGTTTGAAAATATTGTTCAGTATAGTTTCTCATTTTTTAAGTAAAAGCAATTTCTCTACCTTCTAGATTCCATAGAAAAATATTTTTTATATCATGTATTGCCTACAAAAAAAACTTTGCTTTTTGAAATCCTATTATTTTTTTCTTCCATTTTCTATGGCTGAGAGCCATATCCTAATATAATTTTAATCTTAGTTTGATAGTATGTTTTCTGGTTTTCTCAATTTTTGTTTCATATACTATGAAAAAATGTCATTAGTTTCATACAGAAATGTTACTTCTGCATCTTCTTCATGGACTGCCCGTTTCTTCAATTTAAAATGTTCCTGTTCATCTCTGTTAGTGGTTTTTCCAATATGAACATTGGGATGTCTGAATTGTGCACATCAGCATTTGCTTAAAATAGCTATTTTAATTTCTTCATTCTCAATAGTTCTGTGTCCTTGGATTTCAAATGTATTACTAATATCAGATTTTCTTTGTCTACCATAAAATCACATTTAGTGAGTGAATATAAAGAATTTTTACTTGCTGTGATTCTTGATATGTTTACAATTATTTCTGTTCCCTTATTTTTCTGTTTCATTTTGCTAATTTTTGTCCTTTTAATTTGTTATCATCTTTATACTTAAGTTTGATTTCACTTAACTCTTTTCTTTCTGTTATTTTACATATATATTTTTTTCTATTTTTTGTAGCTTACCTCGAGCTACCAATGTTATTATAACTTCAAACATATTTCTTTCATCTCTAGGGAATCAGTGTCTCTAATGTACCTGAGACCATACTTTCACTTTCTGTGCCCTCTTGCAACTATCCTTTCATCTTTTCACCCTCACTGACATCATTCTGAATTTTATATCCTTGAGTTTATATGTAAAAAGTACAAATATGTGTATGCCCAGGAAAAGTTTTATTTAGATGCAGTGTACTTTATTACTTTACTCTTTGTCACTTTGTTTATCTTATTCCCCCTCCTGGAGTTATTTTTCTTATTAATGATTTATATTTGTCTAACAGTTCTAGCTGAGAGTGTCTTAAAATCATAAGCTTCAAAGTTCCTTTCTAAAAAATATCTTTATTTCTTCCTCTCACTTGAATAATCATTTTCCTGGGTGTAGAATTCTAACTTCAGAGTTGTTTTCCTTTAGAATGTTGAGGATATTTCATGTTGCCTCTTGTATCCTGGGTTGCTCACAGGAATCTGACGTCACTTGGATTCTAATTTCTGTCTCCATAATATTGCTTCTCATTTTGAAGGCTTCAGTGGTTTTTCTCTTTATTCTTGGTGTTCACAGATTTCATCACAGTATATGTAGGAATACATGTGTGTGTCTGTGGTGTGTTTTTTGTGTGTTTTTCATCCTTAATCTATCCTACAGCCAAGAAAATCTTAACATTCTGAGACATTTTCCCTAATATTTCTGTAACTGTTATCTTTCCCTGCATTTCTCCATTTCTTCCTTCTGTAAGTTATGCTAATGTATTTTAGAGCTTCGTGTCACCCATATATTGTCACTTTTTTTTCTATTTTCTGTGTCCTCCTCCTGCTCCTAACACTTCCCATCCAGTGACCCAGTGGTCTTCGATATCTACTCAACTACTTTTGGGGTTTTATAATATTTATCAGGCTTATCGTTCCTCACAGTATGCACTGCTTTTTTGTCATTTATTTTAAGATTGTCCATAAGGACTTGAGGCAAAAGATGTTCATGAAAATGATAGTTATAAGCCAGGTGACTGAAATCCATTTTCAAGTTGGGTAATATTTGCCAGTAATGCTCATCAGCTGTGACATCAGAGATCTGATGCCATCAGAGATCAGAGACAACACTGGGCACTGGCAAGGCAAGTAAAGGAACAGAATTAGATGATGGATTTGAAATGCTGCCGAGTCTCATGAATAGAATCGTGGATTGTGGAGATCCAGGTCAGGGACTATTGAGAACAGACGCACAGTGTCCAGGAGAAAAAGCTGTGCCACCCACAATCATGATGGTGAGTCCAGTGGTAGTGATAACTAAGGACCGTCAAGATGTGAGCCTGTTCAAGAAGAGGACAATCAGGGTTTGTGGTTTGTAAGTGGAAAGGGTTCCATTTTGAGAAGGGTTAGAAATGCTCTTTTGTAGTTACTGATATGGGATTTACGTGACATGGGAGAAGTAATCAAAGAATTCTAAACCCAGAAGATTACAGTGGCTACTCTTGTGAAGCTGCTGTGACAATTGTGGAAAATAATACAGGTCACTGGAAAGTAACTGCGTTTTAAAAACATTCTTTGTGTTACTACAAATTAGCATACATAACACATCAGAAGACATGTGTTTTCTTGTGCTAAGGGACCATACCGTTTCCTTGTACAATGATGAAAGGTACTGCAGCTATCTTTGTTTCTGAGGGCCTGAGGTCTTATTACATTCTTCATAAAAATTCAGTTTTATGAGTTTAAACCCTCTAGTCCACATTCACTCTTCCTCTAGTTTGATGGGACTTACTCCCAACTCAGAGCACATTTCAAACACGTGAGTCTTGGTCTCACTAGTAGAAACCATTGGCTGTAGAAACAGACCCTGCTTCCTTAGTTACAGTAGATTCTTCCCCCCAGGCTGAGGCCATATTATTGTGCAGAGAGATATAAATTATTGAAATAAATGTTAATAGCCCCAAATTATATCTACTTCAATTTTATTAGTATTAAAGTAAGGGTCAGGGAGTCTCAAAGTCACAGACACAAAAGAGAGGGAGAAAATTTTTTAAATATTATAAAATTTCAGAGCACCCAGCATTTAGGGCCTAATTTTTCAAAATTTGTACAGTTTTCAGTAAAACCCTTACTAATTTTTAAAAAATAGACATGGAATAACTTTGTCAGTACCTACAATTGAGATGAGGCAAATTGGTAGAAGTAATTGAAACCTGAATTAGAAAGTGTGACTGTTCTTCAAATAGAAGACTGGAAAAGTTATCTTTGGAATTCAAATTGGTACTATAGACCAACCATGAGCAAAGCAGTCATGTTATAGGTCTTTAAACCTTAACATGGAAAAAAGCCTCAAACTCCCAAGGCAAAAGGAATCAGGATCGGTTAAAAGCTACTACATTATTCCTGAGGCAAGGTAGAGGTAAAGAAGAACGATAAAGAAATCTATGGCATTGTCCTACCAGAAGTTATCACCTGAGTGAATGTAAACTTACGTGCTAAGTACATGCAAGGAATTACGTGCCAAAAACCAGCAACATCTATCCAAGCACTATTTATAATAATGAAGGTAATAGTTAGAACTGGCCGAGCACTTGCTGTATACCTAGCACACTCGTACACAATTTCTCTAATTTTCCCTTATCTCTGGAACAACCAAATGAGATAAACATGATACAGTGAAGTTCTTTGCATAAAGTATGAGAAGTAGGAAGCTAAATTAATCTCTGGTGAATTTCAACAGAATAACTAACTACTATGAATAATTTGGGCCAAAAAATAAAAATCCTATTACAATTCTGCTCTGGTAGTTTATTGAATTTGAACCAGGAAGATGAGAGTTAATATTTTTATATGTGTGGTTTGGGGTATTTATATATTATTTTTATTTGTACTGTTTTGACTGTTTTGAAATTTTGTAAGTGGAAAGACTAAGGCTGACAAAAAGTGTTAGTGGTTAGAAAGGCTTTCACTTAAATAAAATTTACACAAAGAAATTATACCCAGTAGTGAAATAAGTAGCAGTCTTTGCCAAAATGAAACTGCCAATCTTTGGCAGATGAGTAAGAATTGAAGATCACTGCATTTGGAATGATTAAGTTGCATGGGAAGAAAAAATCTATGAAATCGTGGCTGTGTACTGCCAGTGACTTTTCAAAATTACTTGATTGAGACACACATTGCAGTATAATAACACGGAAGCATAATATTAAGTTCTTTAAGATATTTTATTTTAGTTCTAGGCTATTAGCCAAACTTCATTTTGTACTTTGCTGTTGTACCTTGAACATCACACCCAGAAAAGCAAAGTTATTTTCCTTTTTGAAAGACTTTTGCATTCATAAATGTAATCTTGATATCTACTCTGATAAAACAACAAAAAAGAGTTCTTGGATACAAAAGAAAGCTAAAGAATGTAGTCCAAATAATTATTCAAGGTACCTGTTAACAAATTAAACCAAAGAAAGAACCATTCCCATAATTATATTTGAGGGGGAAAATTCAGGCAGTAATTTTAATCTCTCTTAAGAAGAATCTGGACACACATGAAATTAGAAGACACTTTTTTTCTATTATAGACAGCGTATGCAGTGTAATGACTGCGGAGTTCTGTAAGTGAAGACCCTGGTGAAATGATAGGTCCACGCCCACTGTCCCGCGAGGACCCAAGTCCTGCCCGTGCTGAGCTCGAGTCTTGCTTTGTCTCCACAGAGTATCTGCACTACCACCACTGCATGTCTGCACTTCTTCTTCCTGGCTTCATTCTGTTGGGTTTTGACTGAGGCATGGCAGTCATATATGGCCGTGACTGGAAAAATCAGGACACGTCTTATAAGGAAACGCTTTCTGTGCCTTGGATGGGGTAAGTCCACATGCTCTTTTACAATGGCTCTCAGCATCTATATTATGATGTTTGGGGAATGATCATCCCTGGAATACTTTTGTTTAATTTGATGTGTGAAGTGAAAATATATGACAGTGGTTATTTTTAAATGTTCATCCATCATTTGGAACTTCAAAAGGGTTTGAGATTGAATGTTCACATAGCTCGTGAATTAACACTCTCTACGTGGTAGGAAATAAGACCTGAGAGGTTTACAGGCAGAAAAAAAAGTGCTCTCACGTAATCTTTCCTGAAGGTATAAAATGCCTTAAACATTCGAGACCCAAGCATGATGGCTCATTGGGCATGTATTCACCTTCCCCCAAATACTTGGAGGATTCTAGTCTAAGAAATCACAAAACGATAAAAGAATGAAGTCATTCATACCACAGGGAGAAAACTACTTAGAGTACACGTGAAACTTCATGCTTAGTCAGTGGGGTCCTCGAAAAGAGAAACAGAATTGCTGCCATGCTGAGAAGTAATTAATTCTGCCAATATTAGGGAAAGTTTCTCTCAAATTGCTTCATGATGCAGATTTCTCAAAAATCAATACTGTTCACAGGGCCAATTCTAATGGTAGCCTACTCAATTTAAAAATCTAGTTTTCAGGAAAAAAAGCCCAATTACTTTTATGCCTTGTCCTTGAGCTTTAAAAGACCCTCACAAAAAAACAACTGAGAAATTTCAGCTAAATTCATGACAGTTACTTACTGTATCAGAAGACAAGAACAGAAATGTAAGAGGGAACCTGGGAAATTACACATAAGTGGACTTGTTATAATTCCAAAATAATTTATGTGAAAAAAATGGATCAAGAACACTAAAGATTATCCCTCAAAATTCAACAGAAGTCTCTTCATATTTAATGTATAGGACTGTCTACACAAGCAAATAGGAAAGCATTTAAGCAATTGAAAAAGTATGCTCAGATTTTCATAAAATTTTCATCCAGATTTCATGACAGAGACCTTCTAAAGTTGAACAAGTGTCAAATCAAGGAACTTAAATTAGTACCTTAGGCCCAAGAAATACAGAATGCAGGTTTTTTTTTTTAAACCATAATTTTTAACAAAAAGAAAAGGTTGGCTATTTTCAAGATTAATGACTACCTTTTTTAACTTTGTTACTATAGTTCTTCAAGAGAGGGTTTGTAGCTGCCCTACAAAATTACTGCTAAATTAAAGAACTCTGAGTAGCAGAGTAAAATGGGCGGACAAAATGGCGGCATATGAGTTGTAGTAGGCAAAATGCAGTGTAATCAAATTGGGGAAAATATCCAAGTTGTGTGCAGTGAAGACTGTTACTCTTTCAGGTATTACGCAGGAGAACAGTGTTTTCTAATGGATTTGGTTCAGTCAATCCAAAATGTCAGCAAATGACATGTGGGATGAAGGATGGAAAATGGGATAAGACTCTCTATATATTTATATATAATATATATATAATATAGTCTCCAGCAGTTGATTAAAACAATGGTAGATCCCTCTGAGATACTGCCCCATGCTTCTTGTCACTAAACCTCATGAATATGTGCAGTATCGGTAGAGAAGGCTCACGGAAGAAAGAATAGCAGGAAGGATGAGAAATGAGAAGAAAGATTGACAGAGGGGATGAAAGAGGAGGATTAAATGATTGAATTTTTAATCTGAAGAGGCAAATATGCTCTTCCTGAAAAAAAATCATGACCAAAAAAAAGTGCCTTAAGCAGCATAGATGAGACTACCTCTATCCGCCAAGTCGTAGAGTGGTTCCGTTTAACTTGAATGAAGTGAGATTCACCTAAAGTAAAAGAAGTTGTAATGTAAAATAGAGGGACACATGCACAGGTAAGTGAAATTCCTATTTGTGTATCCTTGTGATTATGGGTAAATTTGAAAGGAGGAGTTAATTGGTAAGACTCAGTTTTCTATTAGAAGCACAACTTGATATGGGTCCCCAAGTTGCCAACTTCATGTTCTATTTCTGTGACACTGCATCACACCAGAACTTCCAGTTTCTGCCTTTCTTACTTTACAACTATAAATTTCCTAAACCTCTAGAGAAAAAATAGTCTAAAAGACATATTAAATCTCTGTTATTAGTTCCTTTTAAACTCATATCAAATGTGGCCGTAACCTAGCAACATCAAGGAACTGCACCTTGTTTAAAACCCAGCTGTGGCTTTCATATGTTAGCACTTGAAAGAAAGTTTGTAATGGACACAGTTTTGTAAAGTGATTTGTCCAAAGGAAGTTGCTCTCACTGAAGAATCTAGACTTTGTCCTGGCTCATGTTGGGCCAGGATTCCTGGAGTTCTTGATGAATACAGTGTGACCTTGTTTTTCTTGCAGGTTTACCGGCATTAGTGGTGGCCACTTCAGTGGGCTTCACCAGGACAAAAGGTTACGGCACTGATCACTAGTAAGTCCATCCACAGTGATACACTGTGTTTATAATTCAATGGATCATCAAGGAGACTTCATTCGTCTTAGGGGACACTGTTGGTGGCTGGTATTTTGTTATGAAGTCACTAACAGCGATACAAACTGCATTATTAAGGAACCGTGTAAGATGGCTTTAATATATAAAGGTTAATGGAGAAATGATGAAAATGACATAGCAGTGTTCAGGATCCCTGTTTCAATTTCTTAGTTAAGAACAATGTATTTGGCTTTTAAAATGTTTCACTATTGCACTTTCAATCTCAAATACTTTTTTTAAATAACTGGACAAATCTTGATATATTTACCTTTTAGACTATGAGTCTGCCTTGAGTTTCTAATATGATTGATGATAACATAGATGATTATTAACTGCATACTATTATGTTAGATCAAGTTTTGATGATAGTTCTGATATTATTGTTACATCAAATTTGAAGAAAGTAGATTTGATAGCCCATCTGACCACTATCATGCTGATGAACTCAATCAGAATGTACAGTGAAGTTTATATTTAATATTTCAGATTTAAAGCAATGCACTTTCGTATATTGTTTCATCTGCTGTCATATTGAGAAGGCAATTGAGAAATGGAGAGAGAGTATACATCTCATTGCAGGCATAAATTTTAGTGTGATGTTCTGTTTGTCTCCAAGCTGGAGATGGAAATTACTGGTAATTAAGCTATTTCTGGGTTCATCTAAAAATGACAATGATGCCACCTGCCCACCCAAAATGAAGCTTCCTAAAAGTTTAAAGGGCTCATGCTATAAAAGTTTTTGCTTTTCTTATGCAGTCTATACTATTGAAAAAAATTTGATTGTGGATATTGTAAAATACTGCATACTATAGCATGGTTACCTTTAAGTCACAACTTTTTAAATTAATAGACCTATTTTGATATGAATGCAGTACTTGAAAGTCATTGAACTGAAAACATAAAAAAAGTAGGATTAAAGGTGTTAGGTTCTTATTTTCAAGGAGTTTATCATTAAAGCCAAATATACAGTATGATGAGTCCTGTATTGATTTTATGACTATAAATTTCCATTATAATGGTATCAACCCCTAGCAGAAAAATAACTTCACAGAGATACTCAGTCTGTCCCTGTTCCTTATGAGATAATCTGAATGTGAATTTGAAGAAGAGCTTACCCAAAAATACAATAGAAATTTAGTAGCCATCTGAAATAACAGTTTAAAGTGTTCTACCAAAGTAGGGTCTTTTTTCTCCAGGTGTTTTATATAAAATAAAAATGCAAGTGTCACCCCAGAGTAGAAGAGCAAAGTTTAATCTGTCTACTGACAGATAAGTATATGCAGACTTTCAGTAAATACATACGTATTTATGAATACATAAATTAATATGTATACTTGTGTGTCCATATTGCTAGTAGATTAAAATTTTAGTCAATGTGTGGTATAATTTATAGAGTACCACTCACTCTGTTAATTTATATTCTGTGAGTTCTGATGAATACATAAGTCATATAGCCACAATCAATATAGAGAGAACAAATATAGATCACGTGCTGGGTAAAGTTGTTACTTTTGAAGACAACCTGCTGATTTCATGGACTAAGAAACTGTGAAACTGTCAAAAGAGGAAAAACAGGTTCAGGAGTGATAGGCATGGCTTCACATTAGAAGGGGAAAAAACTCAGTCTTTGCCTCTTCCTTCACATTCACCTTTCCCAGAGTACGCATGTGCCAGGTGCCATCTTGCAAAGCTGCCACATTGAGACCCAGCCTCTTCCTGTCTCTCTCTGCTGCAAAAGAATGAATACTTTTACCCAAATGGGCTGTCATGCCTTTATCTGTGCAAAGGCACCCCTTGAATCATTTAGTCCTTGAAATGAGCACAGCTGCACTTATGTTTTGAAAAGCTTATCTTAAATGAATTTTCTCAGTAGTCCAGGAAACAGTGAAATTAAAAGAGGAAAAGCATACAAGTGGAGATTATCCACTTCCTGCTATGTTGTTTGCTAAACTACTTTTTCCTAGTGTCTCAAAGGCCTCCAAGAAAAGCAAGTAAATAGCAGACATGAGACCCTTGAAACTCACTGTTCTTGCTTTAAAGTATATTTGAAAATTTTCATAATGGTGATAAAACAGCATTTTGTAAAATTTTAGTAATAACCAACTTTGTAATGAAAGAAAATACAGAAATATCACTGCAAGAATAATTTGTCTAAAATGATTTAACGGCCTGAAAGGCTTTAAATGAAAGTTTTCCATTGGTGAGGGGTACATAGTATTTCTCCTTCTTCAAAAGCTCTAATTCGACTAAATCTAGCTTTTTCTATACTGTGTGTGTGTGTGTGTGTGTGTGTGTGTGTGTGTGTGTGTGTATTACAAATCTTTGAAATATACCTGTATTCCAAGACAAGGTGTATAAAATAGATTATATTACTTGTGTCACACAGTGGTTGGGTACTTATCACTAATTTTTGTTAGCTTTTGTGTAATATTATTTTCAGCTGCTGGCTCTCTCTTGAAGGAGGACTACTGTACGCTTTTGTTGGACCTGCGGCTGCTGTTGTCCTGGTAAACACTGGAATCAATTTATTTGATTTCTTGGCAAAACAAAAACAAAAAACCCCAAAACTACTTTGGTTCACTCTTTATTAAAGTATTTGGTGTTCAGATTTTAAGGTTTAGTTAGCTAGTGTTTTTATTTAAATTTCAAGTGCTTTCAGTTTTCTGTTGCTCAGAAATATTCATATTTTAACTACTGAAAAATATTGACCATGGGAGTATGATGTCTCTCTTACAGTAACTTCAGATTTGTGAAGATGTTTGAGTAAGTCTCAATAAAATCTTCCTTTTCACTGTCTAGAATCTCATAATTTACTAATATATAGTTATTAATACAAAGATTTCTTCAAAGATGCCACTAATAAATAACTTTATATATGTTTATATGTGTATTTATAGCTTTCTATATGTATTTAGCAGGGTTTCTCAGCCTCAGTTGCACTAATATTTTGACGGGGCATTTCACTGTTGTGAGCTGTTCTGTCTGTTTCAAATGATCGGCAGTGTCTTCTCTCCAAGTCCCACAGCCCGATAGCAGTTTCTAGTTATGACAGTCATAACATTGCCAGATGATGTCCCTTGGGATCTGAATCAGCCCCAGTCCAGAACTGTACAAGTATTGTGCATAAAGACTTTAAGGTTTTTTATTTTTGGTATTACAAAATAATTTTTTAGGTTTTCAAGTTATGGTAACATGCAAAATTTCCCACCATTTTGCCTTTCTCTTTGTTTTCTTGAAATTTATTGATCACATTTTTTGCTTGGCTTATCAGTGTTTGAAGAAAATAAAGGAGGAAAGAAGTGACCTGAATTCATTATAAAGATTCCTATCTCTGTACAGTTAGATTTCTAGTTGGAAAAATTACCTTTTGCTTTCTTCAATGTCATTATAAAACTGGGAGCTAGTGGCATCTTTCTTATTAACTTGGATATTTGAGTTTCTTTTTCATTAAAGTTTGTTCTCCCTCCTCTGAGCTGTAACAGAGAGCAGAAATTGTTCCTAATTCACAAAGAAAAAAATGAAGCCTCCAGGCATGATCGTTAGAGCATGGAGAAATCAAGGCTATTAGACATATTTCTGTCTACTGCTCTGAATTTTTATTTAATCAACTGACTTATTTCCCTGAGCTTCTAAGTTAATATACATAACCCTAAAATGAAGAAATAAAGTGTGTGTGTATAATGGGAACACCACAGCAAGGTCTTTGGAGGGATGATAAATTTCCTCATGATTATGTTGTGCACGAATAGAATACACTTTTTCTCTTAGTTTAGATAATTAGAAGTAGAACAATGAGTAAGCGCTCTAGATTTAACAGTATCTGATCAGGCAGCTCTGAAGAACGGCACCACGAAGGCCCTGTTTGGCACAACCCCTTTAGATCTTCCTTACGTCTGCAGTTAAATAGATTTCAGCTTCAGAGTCACATTTGCATTGGCAGATGGGAAAAAGAATTGAGCCTAGATTGTGTCACCCGAGCATCATGGTCAAGGGGCAAAGAAAGTAAAAAAAAAAAAAGCAAATATTTTCCTTGTCTTGCTTTCCCATTGGACTAGCTTCCTTCGTCAGGAGCTATTTTGTAGGTTAGGCAACGAATGCTCATCATACTCAGCTGCTACAAAGGGATGTCTATGTTTGGAGCTTTTTACAAGTTTACTTGAGAAAAAAAGTTTTTCTTAACTGATTTCAACAGTGTTATGCGAAAGACCTCTTAACTGAATAAAAGAGTCTCAGCCCAGGAAAGTCTGTTTTAGGAATTAGTGCTGGGGTCCACTCTTGAATAGGCTTTTGCCCAAAACAGTGAAATATATCAAATGCTTCCTAGCCCCAGGAGAGAATAGCCACATAAGCGAGGAATTCAACCATCCTGTCCTCCCTGGAGGCAGTGACCAGGGCTCACCTTAGCCCCATGAGCCCTGGTCACAAAATCCTTTGGCTCTTAAGCATAGGATGAAAGTCATTTAGCCAATTGATTTTATTCAAGGTCGACTAGAGAGAAGATTACTGGAATGCCCCAGAATGCCATAGTGCAGCACCATTTAGAAATTAGGGAATTGAAGGTTAATTACTCTGGTGTTAACTATAAACCGTGACAATGGAAATTGCTTCAAGTACTTTAAAATTTAAAGAAACACAGCAGTGTTAAATTGATTGGCATACCTTTGTGTACCTATTTTTGAAAAGTGCTTCGTATCATTACTTTTGAGAGTATATTTTCAGGTGATTTTAAATTTATGAAATAGGGACATGATTTCCTTCAATATCACCGAAAGGGTAATTTTGTTTCTGTTTGACAGGTCAATATGGTGATTGGCATTTTGGTATTTAATAAACTTGTTTCCAGAGATGGGATCCTAGATAAAAAGCTCAAACACAGAGCCGGGTAAGCTGCAATTGGTGGATTTTGAAGGTTATTTACCGGTGAATCTATAGCTGCGCCTTGAATGTTGTTCCTGCTCTGTTAGTGTGTCTGATAGATCTTGTCATTCAAACATTTTGAATACACTGTTCTTAAGTAATGTGACCAAAAATTTAAATGCAATATAACAGATCATTAAAAAAATGTAAATGTATTTGTGCATATTTCCTGCTTGTCAGTTGAGATGATTAAATGTTATGACTAGAAATAAAATAGTGGTCCACAGGTAAGGGTTCAAAGGCCTCCTACTTTTGTTCAGCAAGGATGGTGGGATGGCTGAGCACAATGTTGGCACCTGACCGGAATGAACTGGGGCAAGCCCCGTGAGATACGGTGAAAGTACTGCATTTTCTTTGGCTAATTTTACATATTAGGAAAAATCTTCACTTTGATCACTGGTCAACACTGTCTTTGCTGGGTTTTTTCATTGTTTATGGTATTTTGACTATAATTTGCCAGAGTTACAGTTTTTACTTGCACATAACCACAAGAACAAGTTCAAAAAGCATTTCTCTTAATTTTAGTTTTTATAATAGCACCATAGCTAATGCCTTCAAATATTTCATAAGCAATTGATAACTTGAAGTTATGTGTATGATCACTTTATGAAAATTTGTACAAATTTGAATATTAATGCCCTTGATTTTTCACGTGTCTTTTCTTATAAAAGTTCATAGCTTCTATTTTGTTAAACTGCACCTTCATTTGAAACTTATGCTTATAATGGTCCTTTTTAAGTCATTTATGATATTATTTAATAACCATAGTATTTAATCACTTACTGGTGAGAAATTTAAGTGCTTTTGTGTCTTTATAATCTGTGTAGTGATTTACAAGTAAGATAACTCAGGTATTTCTTTTTTATAGTAGAAAACTAAATTTAATGGATTTGGAATAGCAATGGTATAATAAAATCATCACTAGAAGATCTTTCTGAGGGAAGATCATTTCCCATTTAAAGGCTATTTCCAGTACCAATTATTTCTATGGTTTCTGTAGTAGGTAAACTTAAACTTAGTGTAGACCCTGGGCTTCCTTTTGGACAGGAAGTTGTCAGGTAGTGAATCTTGTGAATTTAATTCATATGATTGGGGTTGGGGTAATAGCTTCTTCAGTTATTTCTGTCCAGATGAATCATGCAAGAACAGATCGATCGTACTGCATACAGGTTATAGAATCAGTGCTACTATTACATATTTAAACAAATAATTTAATCAAAAAAGGGTGAGTTGTAATGATTAAATTTTTAATGTCAGGCAGAGGCTTACTTTTTCACTTTACTAGCTGTGTGTGCCTTTGGATGTATTATTTCAGGCTTTACAGCTCGGTCCCTCTCATCTGTTAAAAGGAGAAATAAATATTTGCCCCTACTTATCTGTTAAAAGGGGAAATAAATATTTGCCCCACAAAGTCTCTGAAATGGAATGTGTTTGAAGCATGCATAGGACATCTAGCTAATCACAAGAAATCACTTAACAAAGTGGCTATTTTGTAAAGAATGAAAAGAGGAATCCAAGATTCACAGATTTGTTTTCAAGTCCCTGACTGAATCAAGAGCCCATTGATTCCACTATCTATGACATCAGATCAAGAAAAGAAATGGCAGCATCAAAATGAATACATATGGGGCTGAAGATTTATTAGTATACTTTATCTTCTTATTTAATCAAACCATGTAATGCTCAGTTTGATTAATGTAGCTCTTTGTAAGAGATGATACAGACTAAAAGAAATGACATTATTACAAACTTAGAATTATCCATTTCACCCTACATTTTAACAAAGACAATTATAATTTTAAAACTTGTAATTCTAAAAAGTATTATTAGCTATCATATGTGTTTCACTGGTGAAACTGAGTCAGAGTTCTTCTGGTTCAAAGATTGGTTTTAGAAGAACAAGAACAGTACTTATATATTCTATAAAATCAGAATGCTGATTGTTCTCTGAAATAGGAGAGCTATTAATGTCTTGATTTTAAGCACTATTCATATTATAAAATGCTATGTTAACCTAAGTAGATATAGATTAAAATTTGTTCTCTATTCCAAAGTATGATTAAAGGAAATTTTAAAAGGAGCTATGGATGTTTGAAACTAATTTTAGTTCACAGAGAAGCAATGAAGATCACAGTTAAGAACTGTGGGCCTCAGCTTTCCCACAGGTGCTTACAAGAAACACCCACAACTTAGTGGAAGACAAGTTTCATGTCTTCTTGGTTTCAGAAGAAAGAGGTCAGATCATGGCCTGCTGGCTGCAAGGCAGGAGCATCATGGTGGAAAAATAGGGTGGGGCAAAGCTGTTCAGTTTCTGGGGCTGGAAAGAAGAGCAGGGAACAATGCCAGTGAGGAAGGGGACAGGAACAGACACAGACACTCACTGCACTGAGCTCATGCTGCCATAACCCACCCACGTGCAGAGCATAGGGTACCAACCCCTCAGCCAGTGCAGAGCATGGGGTACCAACACTAGAGCCAATCAAGTGGACACTCCTTCATAAACACCACAGTAACAAATAATCAAAATTAATTCCAGAAACATGAGCAGGGTCCTACCTGAATGACTTAATTATTGATTTCCCTAATTGTATAAGTGACCATTTCAGATTGACTAATTATGGAAATATATATATATATATATATATATATATATACACTATATCTATGTTATTATTTAGAATCAAAGATCTTTTTAAGACATTACTTCTCTCATTTTTTCTATTTATTTGTGCTGTTTCATACTTTTTGTATCATTTATTAAAAATAACCAAATGTATAGTTCATGCTCTGTAAATATGTATAAAAGATTGAATGAATAAAATTTAACAAATAATAGCTTGACAAGTTATATGATATATGAAGCATATTAAATTTTCAAATATATAAAATATATTTACCAATGGGAGATATATGCTAGATAACCACATAGCTTATATAAAATGATAATTGGAAAGAATGAAAACAAAACAAAGTCTTAAGAAAAAATTTTAATTTTTTCTATTTTTCTGCAGTGAAGATCTCTTATGTACTATTTTAAATTCTGCAGCTTCTCTACTTGAAATTTATGGAAGTCAAAGTAACAGGGTCCTTGATAAATTTTTGAGACTTTTTCAAAAAGATGAGACTTTCTTTCCAGGGAATCTGTTAGAATATTAACAATAAACCTATCAAATAATTGATTATTTCCTAAAGATTTAAAAAGTTTGGAAGGGAGGTAAAACTGATAGATTTGAGACATAGTACTAACCATAGCAACAGAACAGCTTGGAGAAAGAGTAGTGAAAGAACCATGTTCCTAGGATGTACCATGTAGATATTCCTTGCATTGGATAGTATGACTAATACAACTTTTTATAACTATTTGGACATTTTGTCTAGTAGATATATAGTTTCCTCTGTAACAAAGAAATAAGATTTCATTTTTCATTGTAGTGGCTCAATTTAGTACCTCAACTCTGTATCTTTTGTATACATTGATTGTGTAAAGGTTACACCGCCCAACCAGTTAGCATTAAGCATAGTTGCAATAGTTAGTTCCACACTTCAAATACTTACAAATAAGTACACTAACTACTCATTTAAATTTATTATCAGAAAAGTAGACCTTTTTTCAGGGATAAAATAAGTATCGAGTACTTAAAGTTATTTTTTAGTATTCCTTGGCTTTTTAGATTTTTTTCAGAACCTAGAAGCAAAGTACCCTCAAACAAAAGTTGCATCCATGGAAACCACAAAAACTACATAAACATATGGAAATTAACACTCTTCTGAACAACCAGTGGGTCACAGATAAAGTCAGGTTTTTCTATGTGACATAGTTTTTCTTCTCTGGTGTAATAAGTGGAATCTGAATTATTCAAATCTGAATTTACCTATAGAACATCCCAGACCAGAATAAACCATTTAAAGATTATGAAGCTAGAGGCTATGACAAATGTTCGAGATGAGTATCTTAAAATTAATGATTATGTTAAATATGTTGTATTAAGGTGGAACTTCACCACTGTTCTCATTAAAACTAATATCTCATCCAATTTTATTGGCCTCTGTATTTAGATCATCCTAAAATATGGGCATCTTAAATAAAAACCTGTTGAGCTAAAATCAATATTTTAACCAATTATATGTGTGTGTGTGTAATGTGTACCTTCCTGTTTTGCACTTCTGAGATTAATGTTTGCATTCCAGGTTATGACTGATATATGCACCTTCATGAAAGACATTGAAAATCCTTGACCCTAGAAGTCATCACCAATTTGATTACTAGGGATCTGAATAATGGGCTTTCACTCTGTTTACACAAACACATGCTTATGTTGAACTCAGTGTATTGGGCAATGCTTATCTATAGACTAAGGGCCATTTACGGTGTAAATGTGAAAATACACTTTGCATGCATTGAAGGCTCAGATTATAAAAAGCTAAGCATTAAAAGGATATATGTAGGATAAATGCTTTTTTTAAAATGATAGACCATCGTTGATAATATCAATACTTTCTGCATGAAATCATAGTTAAAAGCTAACTTACAGCAGCAGTTTTTTTGGTGACAATTCAATATTTTGTTCTTTTTGTGGGTGTTCTGTTTGTTTGCAGTCAGATGAGTGAGCCTCATAGCGGTTTGACGCTCAAATGTGCCAAGTGTGGAGTAGTTTCAACAACAGCTTTGTCAGCCACCACCGCCAGTAACGCCATGTTAGTCCCAATCATTTACATCTTCTTATTGCAAATTGTTACAGTGCATGTGAGAAAATGCTATGATGAAAAAAATTTGTGGTTGCTAATACTTAAATATTTACAATTGGCACCAGCCTTTATAACTACTGTATGGTAATTTCTAACGTAATAAATAAAATTCTCAAATATTATTAGTCTTGTGGTTTCCAGATTAATACTCTTGGTGCCGCAGACTAGAATGCTTTGCTCAGTGGGGTTTTGGTGCTGGCCTGGGGCCTGGCACACAGCTACGTAATGTGGCTTTCTCTTTCTCCCAACAGGGCCTCTCTTTGGAGCTCCTGCGTGGTTTTGCCCCTTCTGGCTCTGACGTGGATGTCAGCAGTTCTAGCCATGACGGATAAACGTTCCATATTGTTTCAGATTCTTTTTGCTGTGTTTGATTCATTGCAAGGCTTTGTTATAGTCATGGTCCACTGCATTCTTCGGAGAGAGGTAACAACTGTAATTCTTATGAAAAAGATGAGGGAGAGTGGGAGGGAATACTGTTGCCAGTGAGTAAGGTCTTTTAATATCTTGAACTCTTCCATTGCCACCTGCTTAATATTCCATGCTGAGAGAAGCATGTAAGGGATAGCTCAGGAAGACCCTTGGCACTCTGTAAGTGACAAATTAAAATATATGGGTCCATGCAAAAGAAAACACAGCCACAGGTGCCACAAACCATGATGCATGGATTCCAGAGAGGCTAGGTGGTGTGAGACAGGTCACTTAGAGAAACTGGCAGGTGGACAGACAAAGTGACATTATTTTTAAAAGACACTATTCATAAACATAGCAAAATGATGCTTCTTATCTATTTTTCTAATGCAAATTTCCACTGTAGGACGTGCATATTTGTCATATCAACTAATTTTATTTTAGATAGGAAATATCGAAGATTAATGAGTATTTCTTTTGCCTTCTACACTATAGCAAAGGTTACTAATGATTAATGATTTCAATACAGATGCTTATGTTCAGAAAATATAAAAAAGTATACACCGGTGGGCACAAGAGGCAGTATTTGTCCGTATGAACTAGAGACCAATAATCACAGTATTTTCCCAGGTCATGACTGAAATTAATTGGCAGAAATATGGGAAGAAAGAAATTATCTTTCATGAATATGGATACTAACTGGTACAGAATCCATTGAGGACAAAAATGCAGACATGAGTTAAAATGTTTTCCAACCTGTGTGAAAATTACTCTCAATGCTTGCAAGCACTGACATAGTATTTACAAGGTTTGTGAGCCATATTAGCGTTTACTCTGGGGCTAAGGAGTGACTAACATAAATACTGACACAGTACCATGCTAATGCTAGTGATTTTGAGAAAATGATCTATTCTGTCTTTTCATGTAATCTAGCATGTTTGAGAACTTTGTTATGATGCACACATTGGAAACAGATATGAGTACATGGTCTATACGCCATATAGTTTGTACAATGGTATGTGAAGGTAACCAAAGTCTTCGATCCCCTTTACCAGGTAGGGAAAGAATAGTATTTCTGCACTTTTTCAGTGAAACACAGATATCAGCAATAGCCTTCAGGTGTATCCTAAGAACAGTCTATGAAAAACAATGAAAACAGATGAAGAGTGACCTCATCTTCCAAAGTGAGGGAACAGATCATCATTTCAAAAATCTGACATAGTTTATAGTCACCAAACGTTACTTCTCCCTCCACACAGTTTTCTATCTGAGGTGTCAGCATTAAAATCTTCCAAATGCCAAATTCCTTATGTAACAAAGGAGTCAAGTTAGAAAGAGATTGAATAATTTGGGATATATTCTTTTCTAACTGCAACTATCTTGTGGGCCTTCTGTATTAACACTGTCTCTAATACCTTTAAGTAAGAAAATTGTTCAAAATGAATAGATATAAAATATGATTTTGATTGACAACTAAAGATGAATCATTGCAGGCTTTCAATGAGGAATATAATCTACCTACCTATGATTTTCAGATATTAATACCCTGAGAGTTATGGAATAAAGAAATATCCCATTTTTAAATAAGCTTCTCTTTTTTCTTCAGAAATAAGATTTCTAGATAGTCTTAGGGTACAATAAAAATCTACAGGTTTTTAAGTGGTAGATATGATGGCTTATTATCACATTTTTGCTGCTAATATGTAGAAAAATATTTGGCACAAAAATTCTTAATTTCCATTTGAACTTTCTCATACTTGTTAATTAGACTAGGAAACATCAAAATATGATTTAATGGCAGTTAAATAAAATTACAGAATTAAATGCTCCTGGTAAAATAGATATCTGTAAAAATGTCTTTTCTACATTAATGAGAAATAAAATACAGCCATTATATCTATTATTGTTGCATTTTCAATAATTAGCTCAAATTGAGGAATTTTATAACTAATAAATTAAAACCAGTTTCAGTACTGCTCTTTAATTCTAACACTCCAATGAGAAATCACATATCTCCTTTTATTTTTACATTGAAGGTTAAATATACCCTGTAAAAATACTCTGTAACATTGAAGGTTAAAAATACCCTGTAATACAATGATTTCGGCTGTAAAAAAAGTCTCTTTACGAGTATCTAACAGGAAATTTGTTGCCACAAACCAAAAGACCTTTGTTTAAAAGTTTTGCACACCCCAAGGAATACATCACAGATGACCTCCTGGGGCGCACAGAATTCAATTTGACATTTAAGTATGCATTGCTTGACAATAGCGAAGGGTGTCACATTACTGATAACCATTGATTTGCTCATGTATTCTTTCTTTGGAGGAAGCTGGAAGCTACCTCTGCAGTTGAAAAATAAGAAAATAAATTTATAATTGTGACGTTTTGAATGTGATTTGCGTGGAACCTACGCAGTTGAAAAATAAGAAAATAAATTTATAATTGTGACGTTTTGAATGTGATTTGCATGGAACCTAACTAACTTTAAATGTGCATCTGTTTTTGATGGGTCTGAGTCTGCAATTAAAATACTTTCTAATCAGGAAAGAAGGTAGAAAGGAGCACTCTAGTACTGACAGCTCAATGATAACCACTTCTTTTTTGGAAAAAAAGAAGAATGTTTGCATAACTTGTTCTGATCTCCAGACCGGACATCTCAATAATTAAATTTGCTAAATATTTTATTCTTAAAAACTATAGCTCCTTCTCTTCTTGTACATCTTTTTGTTTTGAAATGCATTAGTGCTTCTGTGGTGGTAAAAAGGAAAAAAAGATGAGGGGAAAGTCATTTTTAAAAATTGAGCTATATGATTTATCACAACACATAGCTTTAAACAACAGAACCTACATTGCAGAAGCTAATATGTTGAACAGCTAATAAGATGGTGTCTGCTGGGATGCATATAGATGTTTCTTGCCATTTATCCATCATTAGTTGATTAGAATTTGTTCACTTTAGGCAGATAATAACATATACTCTGCACTATTTTCCACATTGCTATGGAAATTGAAACAACAGAAGAGTTATGAAACCTTTGAAATAGTTCCTGTTGCTAGGAAACCACATTCTTGGTGCCTGCACATTCTTCTAGTCTCTCTGTCTCTGGCTATGCCGGCTGTAAGAGGATCTTGCAGCTTGATGTCAGAGGGGGAAAATAACAAGATTGTGATATGAAATAGGCTACAATAAAAGGCCTTGCTACATGGAAGGAAAAAGGAAAGTGCTTAAATGGATAATTTTGTGGTGTCAGTATGTGAAGATTCCAGGGCTCTTCTGTCACATCAGTATCAGGGCCAAGCTCCTCTTTCCCGTTCCCAAGCCTGGCAGGAGGTCTAGACTGCACCAGACGGGGTCCCAAAGTCTTCATCCAAATCTGGGAAGCAATTTTGTAGCAAAATGCTTAAAATAAAGATGAATCCTCTCTCTCATTCCTTCACTCTCTATCCCTTCCCCCCTCCCTGCCTGCCTCTTTTCCTTTTCTGGTCTCCCTGTGTCCCTGCCACCTCTTTTACCTTTATGTTTTTGCCAGTTTCCCATGCAGTTTTATTATTTCTATAGAGAGTACAGATTTTAAAAAATCATTTCTAAGCACATAAAATTGAATGTGTATGCATATCTAATCTAAAACTGGTATCCTCCCAAAGCAAACCACTTTTTAAAAGTGGGGGAGCCAGGTAGGTAGTGATGAAGTGAGTAGACGGGATTTGGGAAGAGTATGTACTGCATAAAATACAATTCAGAGGGAGAGTTGCATGGACCGGCAAGCTTGACAGGGAAATTGGCTCTGACTTTATAGTATGCAAAGAAGGAGCTGTGTCTTTGTGTCCTCCCTTAGTTTGGACCAGGACCAGGGTTTCAGTTGGTCTTTGAGGATGAAGGAGTGGGTGATAGGAAACCTCCAAATTAAATGGGGCCCTGAGGGAAAAAGTTAGGTTAAAGAAACAAGAAGTAAGGTTTCAGGCAAAGGAGAATGGAGAGAGGTTATTAGGTTTATGGTTTTCATGGCCTACATGCCTATGGCTATGGCAGTGAAGAGTAGAGTGATTTGTTTGAGAAGCATTAAGGAAGTGATGTAACCCTGAACACTAAGCTCAGTAAGTAAAAAAAAAAAAAAAAAAAAAAAAAATAGTACCAAGAGAATGACTAGATTGATGACATTTGAAGGCAGAATTGATTAAGTGATATTTTAGAAGTCCCTAGTTAGAGTGTTTAGTGGCTTTGATCAAAGGTTCTCTGAGTCATATCGTGGAGAAAGTGAAATACATTTTAGAGAGTGAGAGCTTTAGAACTGGAAGCATCAGGATACTGACCTGAATATTTTTAACTTCTTCAGAAGGTACTTGCATATGCACAAGAATTTTAAAAAGAGTGGAGTGGATGCCTAAGAGCTTTTTCTTTGTCAGTGGGAACTGAAAGCCCAAAGAGAAATACATTTACTGCATTACTTTTTTTTTAATAAATAGGATGTATATCTTGAAGTGGGAAAATGACTAGAAGTACCAAAATAAACCTGTACCTTATCAAATAGAGTAGGGAGGCACAAAGACTGGCTTTACATAGTAATGTAGATATTATAGAAACAAGTACAATATCCTCTGATTTCTGTAATTCTTTCCCAGAAATCACCAACCCCGCTTCCCCCACTAGTCATCCCATTATGAATGCAGAGGAATGTGAATCCTACTCTCCCGCCTGAGCTTTTCAGGATTTGTGAGCACTACAGTGATGTCAGGAATAGTTGCATGACTCTTGGTCTTCAGTACTGCTTCTTGAAGCCCATGCTGAGGGGCAAGTGGTTCAGAAACCATGACGTCAGAATCCTGGGCTGGCATCAATGATCGTTCATGAACTCAGAGATGGAGAGTCACACCAGAGAATGACAAGTGCTGGGTGCCTGTTAGCAGCCATTAAGTCGTGGCCAAAGCCTCACATTGCCCTTCCAGTGTCCCCCACACTGGACAGCAGCCTGGAGTTTCCGTCTGCAGTAGGAGTGCTACCAGGACAAGGGTGT